ACCAAACTGAAAAGGAAATGGGGTGACATTTTTTACTCTTCCAGTGGTCACTCAGTAGCATCCACCCTTCCTCCAAGAAGAATATTACAACCTCCTTGCCACTTATCTCCAGCAGTTTGTCTTTAGCTACAGACTTCCACTCTGCCTGGGAGAAACAAGTAAATAAAGCCCATATTTCAAGCTTGATTTACTCTGATACCTACTGTGAAAGATTATGACTCTTTAGGGAAATAAAGACAGGGTCAGGGAATTAGTGTACATAATGGTCATTTTGATAATGGGCCAACAGATGCAACTGGAAACATACTGTACACAATTAAGCATAATGCACTAATGACAGGTTAGAGTTTTTATCGCCTCTCTGCGATCGAGCAGCAAATCCGAGTTTAGCAGTAATAAAGAGTTTATTGGTGCTAAAGCCAAAGATTTTCTGACAGAGGAAAGATTTTTCCTTTCATAACAAGAGTATTAAATCCTTTGTTTACTAGGCTCTGGAAAAGAGATATGCAAAGTGGTTGTCAGATATTTCTTAGGAAAAAGCCAATTAAAGGGTAATCGAGTAAAGGATGAGAATTACCATTTGACTTCAAATGTCTCCTCTTCTCCTGCTCTCTCCCTCCTCCACCCCCTAACAGCATTGTGCCCCTGTGGACAGCTTCTCCTCCAAAGAACTTCAAAATCACAGATAATGATCCGAATCCCACCTTTTTTACTCATGAAAGTAGAGCAGACCTGTCATATCTTAACAATTCTGTATTTAGTAGTACAGCAAGATCTCGTCTGCAGGCTTAATTGAACAACAAAACTGTGTACCTGAAGTGCAGATAAAAAGGAAACAGAATTATTGGAGTAAAACAAAATGCTGTCTGCAGGGCTGGCAAGGTTTTGTGTTCTCTGTCTGGCTTGAGTAGGATGTTGGGAAGTTCTTACTGGATAAAGGGGTGGAAGCTGCCTATCACTGCAGGGTTCCACTGACTTCCTTAAGATCTCACCTCTCACCTGTGCAGGGTTTGGTTCAGGGTGTTGCCACCAGGACACTCAGATTCCATATCTGAAAGAAAAAGCACGAAGCATTTACTTCCTGCTGAGGTTTATTTGCATGAATGACGCTTTGGTTTGTGGTCTGGCGGAAATACATTTTATTAGTGGTGTTTCTGGGGTGGAATAGGTGGTTTTCTGCCACAAATATTCCTTTAGCCAAGCAGTATTTGAACTGGACCAAACTGAAGCCACTGCTCGTGCTTATAGCGCCGAGGATTTTCCTGCTTAGTGTTGAAATTCAAGTACAAAAGTCTTTCTGGTCTATTTGCTACAACACCTCCTCTCAGAGAGGTTAAGAAGAGGTGAACAGGATGAAAAGGCACTTGCAGGGTTTAAAAAATCTTCTATGGAAAAAAAAAAAAAAACATCTTTCATTTCACAAAAAAAAAAAAAGTCTCCTGTAGGTTGTTATGTGCATAAGGTGGAGGCTTAAGAGCAGCCACATTTGCAGATGAACTGCTTTTCCTCGCTTCTCCGAGACATGACATTTGTTCAGAAGATTAGCCAGGTTGTAATGTGTAGCATAATTGCACTGTGCGGATGTCCCAGAAGTGAAAACCTAATTGCTTGACAGGCCTATAACTTTGTGGTACTGCTCTCACCTTGTTAGGTCCTTTTCTGATGCGGTTCAAATGCAGGCTGGCCGCAGGTGTGCCTAATTTACCTCGCAACAGAACGTGTTGAGTTTAATTGCACAGTGGTTGTTAGGAAAAATTGGTGGGTGGAATATCAAGTGACTCACTGTATGCGGATGGCAGATGGGCGGCGAGAGGCATCAGAGCTAAGTGTATAGGTGAGGTGAGTTAATAAAAGATGTAAATTTTAGCTTAAAATAGTGGAGTCTTGTGGAAGGTAATACATTTTAATTAAGAGGGTAGCAGGCCCCGTTCTAGCAGTGGGAAAAAATCAGAGCAAGGGGACATGGCAAAGACTGCATTTTTCTTCCTATCAGTGTTTTAGGAGCAGCTCAGCCTGTTTGGGAAGGCTGTTTTGCGAGGCTGTATTGATTAAAAAAGGCTAAAAATTCTGCTTATGATACAAAATGTAACAGGGAGAGCCAAACCTAGAAATTCTCATTCTTGTCTCAAAGTTTGGGATGAGACCAAGCAGAGCTCTGCTCCAGGTCCTTGCTCCTTGCTGTGGTTGGGGTGGGAGGGATGGGTTTGCAGTGCCCACAGTCCTTGGTGGTCAGCTGAGAGCAGCCACCAAGTCAATCATCTCCTCCTGGCATGGAGAGCACCCTGCCTGGGAATGTGGTTCTTAACTGATGCTGTCTTCCTCTGAGAAGCTTGTCCTGATGCCACCTGTGCTCCATGAGCTCTGAAAGCACGGAGTAAAGAGTGAAATAAAATATCTCAGCATCAAGGAATGCAGTGGAGCTGAAATGCGAGTGCTGCTTGTGTTCACTCCAGCCTGGCATCAATATTTAGCCCGGTGCTCAGAGCCATCCTAATAAACTTGATGATGTCTAATTTCACCAAGAGTGGGTCCTTTTCACCAAATAATTGAACAAATACCGGTTCCAGTTGATGTTTAGTGAAAGGGTGCTTAATGGCCCTTTTTCTTTGACAGGATGTGAGCTCTCTGTATAGAAACAATTCATCATGAATGCTTCACGCTAAAAACAATCCACGAGGAGCAATACTTAGCATTCCTAGTGCACAATTCATTGGAGAATTTCCGAGCAATTTACAAACATTAGCTCAATAAGCCTCACAACACCCATTTGAGATCAGAAAAAAAAAAAAAAAAAAAAAAAAAAAAAAAAAAAAAAAAAAAAAAAAAAAAAAAAAAAGGAAAAGATAAGATACAGCTCTTCAGCCTGGATGTGGCACTACGGAGCTGTAAAGCTGGAGGCTGGTCCCAGCTCCTGGCTCCCCAGCACTGGGTGGGTGGCTCTGTGTGGAGCTGGGCATCAGCTGGGCCCTGCACAGACTCACAGTCTGGGTGGTGGAAGCTGTGCAAAAGCAAATAGAGGTCTGACAGAAAGGATGTTTCCTTTAGAATAATAGAATTGTGGAATGGTTTGGCTTGGAAGGGACCTCAAGGATCATACAGTTCCAACCCCCCTGCAGTGGGCAGGGAACCTGGCAATAATCAATTGTTCTGGAGATAAAATCTCAAATAACAACAACAAAAAAATAAAAACCTAATCCAAAGCACAAAAAACCTCCAAAACATGGCAGATAAAATTAGAGGGAACTTGTGGCTAATACAGAGGCAGTTTCATGGAGTTGCTGATAATATCCCTGCAACAGCATCCAGAAAAGCTGAGCATCTGAACTAGGAGATCATGTCATCCACCACAGAAATCCAGATCTTGTTCAGCTCAACAGCTGAAACCCCTTTACAGGTTTTGGGATAGGAAGTTTTAAAGAAATGTGCATTCAGCTGAACTGACAGCATCGATTTCTTTATGCAGTTTCAGTAAACCTGGTTGTTTCCCTGCTTGCCTCTCTGATACGAGAGATTGCTCCTTCAGCATTCGTGTCCTGGGATAACATCAGGGTGCTGCTCAAGGTTTAATGGAGAAGGAAGAGCTGGGATTAAAAGCACCAGTTTTGGATTTGGGGATGCTCCCATAATGCTCCTGAATGACCCTCAAAGCTTCTCAGCAGCGAGTGCGATGTGGTGTAGCCACAGTTGCTCTTTCTGCTGGCCAAGGCTGGGCCTTGTTGGGTGCTAAAGGAGGAAAGATGCTCCTGGTTTGCCTCCTGCCATGAATGCTCTTGGCACATGGAAACCTCTGTGTGCAGCAAGAAAAGTCCCAGTCACTTACAGAGCTGGACATGAGCGAATAAATCAAAGTTGTTTCACATTTCTGAATGTGAAAGCTCTGGCTGACCTCGCTGTCCAGCATGCACAAATTTGGGCAGCACGAGCTGCTGGACTGGAGCATCTGAAGGACTCTGGGAGAGGGAAAAATCCTGAGCTTTGCTTGTCATTAGTAGTCAGTCATTAGCCAGAAAACCTAATTAAAACATAGTTTTACTATGAAAGGTGAAATCACGAGTGCATAAATAAAAAAGATGATGTCAGGCTGTGAATGTCCTCCTGAGGATCCCGCGGTTTGCTTCACCTGCGGGATGGAGACTTCCCAGATCAGCTCATTCCTGCGGTGCAGGAGGGTGGCAGAAAGGAGTTTCCATCTTCCCAAGCTTTCCCCTTCCCTCTAAGTGCTCGCTGTGCTCCCCTGAGGCAGCGTTGCTGCAAAAACGGTTTATGGGGAGATGCCTGGATGATAAGGGTTAGTCCTAAATAATTGCTCGTTGTCGCTCAGCAGAAATAAGCTGGATTTCGATCCCTGGGTAGAGCGACTCCTCACAGCTAAAGGCTGGCAGAGGTTGAAGAGGTCGTAAGACAGGGCCTAATTTGCCATGTTCCTTCCCTTTCAAAAACAATGAGGGAGCCGGGGCCTTGCCGGTGGGCAGATCCTGCCTGGATCTCCCTGGAGTCAGCAGGAGTTGGATCCAGTCCCTTTGAATAGCCAGAGTTTCCAATCCGGAGGCAAAGCCAAGTGTTTTTCAGAAGATTGATCATTACCTTTGGAATTTTTCGACGTAGAGGTCATTACTGCTAATATAAGTTGTGAAAAAAATGAAAAGTATTAAAAAAAATAGAGACAAATTCTCATCTGGTGTAAGTCATTGCCTTTGAAGTCAATGAGTCATTGAAATCAACTTTCCCACACCGAGCTGAGGATATGGCCTGGAGTCAATACATTTGGAGTCGTTGAAAAATTAAAAATATAAATTTGCCTTGCCTTGGCAATAATGTTCTGTTTATGACAGAGATCTTGTGCTTTAAAATAAGTTCATTAACAAATAGGAAAGTAATATTTCACTACCAGTATCCTTTTGGGTATAACTATTTATGACTAAATTTTATTAAACTTTTTAAAAATTGGATTTACATTTTGATGAATCTAATAGATTTCAATTTTGTATTTTTATAGATTCTTTCTAAAGTTTTTCCTCAAGTGCAATCAGAACTGTTTGAAGAATGCAGGCAACCCACGAGACATGCGAAGATTCCAGGTACAGATCCCACTAAACAATGTATAAAAGACTTGATCACATCTTCATCTTGAGCTTATGAAATAACAGTCAGTTTTTCCACTCAGTGTTGTCCCAGTGCTTAAAAATTTGCTGTCAGTATTTTTCCACTTCCCCCATTAATTGAAGTGCTGGTTCTGGAGTTCTGCAGTGGGCTTGACAGATCAATGTTGGAGCAAGTGGATCTTTCCTTAGGAATTATTTCCCTAATTTTCCTTCCTGCTGTCACCTTGTGTTGTGGTTTGTGCTGTTTGCTCAGATCTGCAGGGGTTTTACTCAGACTGAGTAGTTTGATCTTACCTTAAGAACACGACTATGGAGCTCAGGGATGTTTGGAACTCTCTGGTTCACAACTTGTGGATCCAGCAGTGATGGCCCAGCCCACAGATGTTTGTTTCAGCAGGGTTAGAAAATGTTTAATACTTCACTTTCTCCTTACAGCTTTTGAGATACCCTGTGGTGAATCATAGCAGCACAGAGAGGCAGCTGACGGGATGGACAAATTATTTCCTCTGTATCTGGGGTCATTGGAAAGGCTCGTTAAGAAATAACTGTCTTTTATTTCAAAATATTTCACAATGATTCATATTTGGTTCCAGCAATAAAGTAGTATTGAGATGTTCAGAACTTTCTCAGTTTGGAGAAGAATTTCTTGTGGTTAAACTTGATAGCAGAGCATGTGACATCTGTTTTCATGCACAGCCAACCAACCGGGGAAGCCAGCACCCTTGAGCCAGCCAACAGAAAAGATCTGTAGCTGGGAAAAAAAAAATATTCCTTCAAAACAATCGAGCCAGGCTTCCATTTTTCATGCATCTCAGCTTCACGTAGCATCGGTGATATTGATCCATCTGAACAGAACAGAAGGTCAAACCTGGAATGAGTGGAAATGTCCTCTTTGTCTCACTGATGACTAAATGAAGCATCAGTCACGAGTGATCTTGTGGTCGACAATGGAGCCAGTAGGCACTAGAAAGACTTTCCTGGGTCTCTTTAGCTAATCTCCCTGCCTCTCAGAAGGTTTAACTGGACTTAACAGGATGTCAGATCTTGAACAGTATTTTTACCTGGTTTCCCTGCCTCAGCGCCTTTGTGGAGGTGCACTGCAGGAGTGAGGCGACATAACAAAGCGTAGCACGTCGACTTTCTTTTGCTGAACTACAGTATTTTCCCTTGGTGTCTGACCTATATAGACATGACAGAACAAAAATAGTTGTCATTTTCATATACACCTTGCTCTGTCTCTTTAATACACCATGTTCTAGGAACCAAACCCAGAAACCCTGGCTGGAAATCACGCTTGTATGTTTTGCAATGTTTCTGAAAGCCTGGGAATCTCATTAAGAGTGAAAGAGGATAGCCCAGTGGCCTGGCAGCAGCTCTGAGGCCGAGCTGAGCGTGCAACCTCAGCACTCTCCGAAGTGGATGTTGACAAGAGGGAAAGTGTCCACTTGTGGGAGGAGAGAGCTGGGGAAGCAGAGCAGCCTGGCAGAGAGCTGCCCTCGGGCTGTTCTAAAGGGTACCGCAGATGGCTGTCTCCGAGGAGGCAGGATACACAGAAAAGGTGCTGTGATAGCTGAGAGCTAATTATGGCTTGTGAATAAGAAACAGGATCAGAGGTGATCCAAAACATAGAAGCAGACAAGAATTTTCTTCTGATGCCTTGGACCAGCTCTGTGCGAAGGAGGCTCTCTGCTCCCCTTCAGATTGTGTTTGTTAAGTGTTTGGGTTTAGAAGCTGGTGGAAGAACCCTGAAATCATCTTTGCTGTAACCAAAATTTAAATGAATGGAAGGTGGACACTAAAATTCGTCCTACCTTTGGCCACCCTCACCAGCTGGCTCGATAAGGTCTGACTTAGCCAGCGACTTTATGGACTCTACTCACCCCAAAGGAAGCGCTGCAGTGGCCTCTTCCTTTAGGTAACCTGGAACCAGAGCAAAGGGCCCATGCTGGAGTATTTAAACAAGATGTAAATGTCAGCCTGGGATAACAGTGATCCACCTACGAAGCCGTGCTCCACACCAACCCTGGCGGTTTCCTCCCTGGCTGGTGTTCCCGCGCCGTGGCTGCCGGAAGGCGTCCCACAGCTCCATTCTGGAGGTGTTTGCTTCGGGAAGGTTGTGCCTTTTGCATATGTTCCTTTGCCATTTTCGACTGAGAAGCAGCTGGAAGCCAAAGGAGGCCCTATCCATCATCTCTTCTATGGCCGGACTCTGAACCTGGACACAAGAATAGGAGCCTTTCACTCAAAAATAAAGGAGGAAATTCCATTGACATACCAGGGTCAATCACCATCCAAATGAACTTGAGAAGGGATACTTTTCATGGATTGAAAACACTTTCACTATTCATATTCAACTCGGCCTTTTCAGATGCAAAAAAGTTCATTATCAGACATTAAATGTAATTGTAAAACTGACCTGGAGATCATTTACTGAAGAAAAAATGGGGAGTTACGAAGGTTCCTGATTTATTAAGCTTTTTTTATTTGGAATCCTCACAACCCTTCATTTGAAGACAGTCTCAAGTGAACAAATTTTAATTAGATAAACTATCTAATCAATATATCAACAGATCAATCAAAACAGCAGCTTTTAAAATGAGTGGCTAGAGGGGTGTTTCTGAAACTAATGGCTAGAAGAATATTTCCCTGAATTGAATTCATTTGTTAGCATAATAGGAGATTAAACTCTAATTAGTGTAGCAGGTTCTGAAGAGAAACAATTGTGAGTTAAAAATCACCAGTGGTCTCCACGTAAACAAAGATGTATTCAGAGATGTCATTCACTCGGTTTAAATAGAAACAGAAAAGTAACAGGATGTTGTTTTGTCTTACAAGAGCTGATTTGGGGAAAATCTGCAGGATTTTTGAAATGTGGGGTTTTGTTTTCTCTTGCAGGTTGTTGTATCAACAACAGTCAATGTGGATGGCCACGTGCTGGCTGTCTCAGACAACATGTTTGTACACAACAATTCCAAACACGGGAGGCGGGCTCGCCGCCTTGACCCCTCAGAAGGTACGGCCCCTTCTTATCTGGAAAATGGTAGGCACACATTTACATGTCCTTTTTTTTTTATTTGCAATGCTTTTTTTTTTATTTTATTATTTTTTTAATTTCCTTTTTTTTTTTTTTTTTATTTCACCGTACTTTATGTTGAGACACCACTACATTTATTTTTACATCATTTCTTCTCTCATCCATCAAAACCCATTAAAAAAAGTCCATTAGTATTTCTCAGCCCTTGTCAACTAGAACACAGATGCTTCTGAATTTGCTTCTGACTTCTTTCTTCATTTAATACTTACAGTTTTGCAGTCACAACCAATTTTTCACATTTTCCTATTTTATTTCTTCTCTCTTTTTTTTTTTTTCTTTTTTTTTAAATTTCAGTCTTGTTTTGCTTGCAGCTTTTTCTTGCTCTTTAATTTGACTTGATTTTATTTTGGCTTGTCATATTCCTTGATCCAGAGGTACAGTCTCAGGTTATGTATGCAAGTTTAAGTGGATGGTAAAAACATGACCGAATCTGTAAAGAATTTACTGTGAGGTCAATTTCCTGTGCCTGGGCCTTACTGCAGATTACGGCAGGAGGGGGTTTGGATGAGAAAAACAGCATAAAATGTTTTTCTTCAGCCTGACTCAACGTGATTGACTTCTTGCCTGAACTGCTAAAAGAAGATAGGCTGAGATGAAGAGGGGAATGGAAAGTGTCTCTGAAAATCCAGAATTGTGAAATCCTATCTTTTTTGGAAACCATCAGCCCCTGAATCACTCACACACAATTGCAGCTGCGCCTGGGCAGTGCACACATGTATTTATTGTCCTGCAAAGCCCAAAATAGTCATTTGGATTTAAATATCACTTTGTTTGAACTGTAAAATATACCAGTGTAGGGATGAAAACCAGCTCTCAGAGAACCTCTGTTTAATAAAATTAGGATAGGATAGGATAGGATAGGATAGGATAGGATAGGATAGGATAGGGATAGAATAGGATAGGATAGAATAGAATAGAATAGAATAGAATAGAATAGAATAGAATAGAATAGAATAGAATAGAATAGAATAGAATATTTTCAGTTGAAGGATCACCCAGTCCAACTTCCTGAAGATTTTAGTCTTGCTCAGAATTTAAATGCACATTTAAATACGTTTAATTTTAATACCTCTTGAGTTCTGGAAGTGTTAAGATCCTCAAACCTGATGTGCTGGGCCACGCACATCAGTTTCTACGGGACTCCTCTTGCGACTTGCTACTAACACATTGACAGGATCATGGCTTTTTACACTAATAAAATTAATTAAAGTGATAACAATACTAAGCTGCTAATACAATCATTGTCATTTTACGTTTCAAATAGTATTTACCAACGGGCGGGGAGGGGAATGAATGAGGCGAGCACCAACTATCGGAAGGAAACGCAACCCAGACATCAAAAAATGGAAAGCGATTTACAAATCTGCCGCGGTCCGCACACACACACAACCCTAATTTGTTTTTCTGCATTAATAACTAAGGTATAAGAGACCAAAAATATAATAATTAAAGGTCGCCCTGAGCACCAGAGTCATTATGGTCTATGACGTATTGTTTATCTCTTTCATATGCGCGGAAAGTAGGTGTGTGTTTTGCCTAGCAACCGTCACTAATGAGGTTCACAATTAAGAAGGCTGAATCCTCTCCCCTCGTCCTCTCCTTCCCCAGAGAGCCAGAACTAGCAACATTATAGGTTCAAGTAAGCATGCTCAGCCCTGTGGTGTTAGGTTTTAGTCTAGGTCCAAATTCAGCCTCTTCTAATGAGCTATTATGATCTTAGCAAAATACGAGTATTTATTTTTGTAAGCTGCATAAAAAAAGAATTTGACTCTGAGCAGCAAATACCGCTTAGAAAAATAAAGGCCACTTTTCCATGCTACGGAAAATCTACATAAATGTCACTTACCAGGAGCTCCTTTTCTTGGTGATACGGTAATTGATTTGCTTTCTTTAAATGTTAAAAAACACAGTGCCAAATCCTCTTTGCCTAACATCCCATAAACGCTCAGTCGAGTAAGCTGCACCGTTGCAAATGAATGTGAAAATCTGAACGGCTGCT